ACAAGAAAAGGAAATAAAAAGAATATAGATTGGGAGAAAAGAAATTAAGCGATCTGTTCACAGATGATATGACTGTCTATGTTGAAAATCCCAGAGTCAACAAAAATTCCTAGAACTAATAAGCAATTACAGTAAAGTTGCATGATACAAGGTTAGCATACGCTTATTCAATCTGTATGCTGAGCAAATAATCCAAGAAGCTGGACTGTATGAAGAAGAACGTGGCATCAGGATTGGAGAAAGACTCATTAACAGTCTACCATATGCAGATGACACAACCTTGCTTGCAGAAAGTGAAGAGGACTTGAAGCACTTATTGATGAAGATCAAAGACTACAGCCTTCAGTATGGATTACACCTTAACATAAAGAAAACAAAAATCCTCACAACTAGACCAATAAGCAACATCGTGATAAACAGAGAAAAGACTGATGTTGTCAAGGATTTCATTTTACTTGGATCCACAATCAACACCCATGAAAGCAGCAGTCAGGAAATCAAATGACGTATTGCATTGGGCAAATCTGCTGCAAAAGCCCTCCTTAAGGGGTTAAAAAGAAAAGATGTCACCTTGAGGACTAAGGCGTGCCTGACCCAAGCCATGGTATTTTCAATTGCTTCATCACATGCGAAAGCTGGACAATGAATAAGGAAGACCGAAGAAGGATTGATGCCTTTGAATTATGGTGTTGGCAAAGAACATTGAACATACCATGGACTGCCAGAAGAAAGAACAAGTCTGTCCTAGAAGAAGTACAGCCAGAGTGCTCCACAGATGTAAGGATGGTGTGATTTCGTCTCACATACTTTGGCCATGTTATCAAGAGGGACCAGCCCTTGGAGAGGGACAACATGCTTGGTAAAGTAGAGGGTCAGCAAAAAAGAGGAAGATGAGAGGGATTGACACAGTGGCTGCAATTGACACAGTGGCTGCAACAGTGGGCTCAAACATAACAATGATTATGAGTATGGCGGAGGACCTGGCAGTGTTTCATTCTGTTGTACATAGGGTCGCTATGAGTCAGAACTGACTCAACAGCACCTAACAACAACACAAGTCAATTGTGTTTCTATATATCAGCAATGAACAATTGGAATTTGATATTTAAAAAATACTATTTACTTTAGACCCCTGCAAATTAAATATTTAGGTATAAATCTAACAAAGTATGTACAAGATCAATATGAGAAACACTGTAAAACTGATGAAAGAAATCAAAGAATATTAAATAAATGAAGAGACGTTCCATGTTCATAGACAGGAACATGCAATAGTGTTAAGATTTCGATTCTTTCCAATTTGATCTATAAATTCAATGCAATCCAAATCAGTATCCCAGAAAGTTATGTTGTGGATATCGACAAACTAATTCTAAAGGCAAACTAATTCTAAAGGCAAAAGACTCAGAATAGCCAGAACAATCCTGAAGAAGAACAAAGTCAGGTGACTGACATTACCTGACTTCAAGATTTACTATAAAGCTAAGACGATAAAGACAGCATGGTACCGGTAAAAGAATAGACAATAAATCAATGGTGCACAATGGAGAGCCCAGAAATAGACCCATAAAATATAGTCAACTTATCTTTAACAAAGGAGCAAAGGTAATTCAATGGAGAAAGGATAGTCTTTTCAACAAATGGTGCTGAGGATGTGGAGCACCAGGAACTCCCGTTCATGGCCGGTGAGAATTCAAAATGGCACAGCCACTTTGGAAGACAGTTTGGTAGCTTCTTCCAATGCTAAACAGCGGCTGACCATACAATCCAGCAAGTGTGTTCCCAGGTATTTACTCAAATGAGTTGAAAATTTATGTTCACACAAATTCTGTGCACAAATGTTTTCGGCAGCTTTATTCGTAATTGCCAAAACTTGGAAGCAACCAAGATGTCTTTCAATAGGTGAATGGGTAAACAAACTGTGGTACATCCATACAACAAGATATTACTCAGTAATAAAAACAAATGCACTATCAAGCCATAAAAACACAGAGAGGGACCTTAAATGCATATTGCTAAGTTGAAAGGAACCAGTCTGAAAAGGCTACATACTATATGGGTTCCAACTATCTGACACTGTGGAAAAGGCAAAACTATAAAGACAGGGAAAAGATCAGTGGTTGACATGGGTTCATTGGGAGGGAAGGCGGGAGGAACAGGCGGAGTGTAGGGGATTTTTAGGGCAATGAAATTATTCTGCATGACACTGTAATGGTGGGTATGCGACATTATGCAGTTTTCAAAACCCATAGAACTGTACAACACAAAGAGTGAACTCTCATGTAAACTGTGGACTTTAGTTAATACTCATGCATCGAGACTGGCTCATCAATTGCAACAATTATACCACAGGAATGCAAGATGTTAATAATAGAGGAAACTATTGAGTGGTGTATACGGGAACTCTCTGTACTCTGTACTTTCCGCTCAATTTTTCTGTAAACCCAAAACTGCTCTAAAAAAACAATGTTTGTTAAAAAAAAAAAAATTCTTCAGCTGCCCACTGCACCCAACCAGGTGGTAGGCTAGAGTTGGCCTTTGGGCCTGTCATGAATTGAATTGTGTCCCCCCAAAAATGTGTGTATCAATTTGGCTAGGCCATGATTCCCAGTGTTGTGTGGTTGTCCTCCATTTTATGATTGTAATTTTACATTAAAGAGGATTAGGGTGGGATTGTAACACCACCCTAACCCAGGTCACATCCCTGATCCAATGTAAAGGGAGTTTCCTTGGGGTGTGGACTGCACCACCTTTTATCTCTTATAAGAGATAAAAGGAAAGGGAAGCAAGTGGAGAGTTGGGGACCTCATACCACCAAGAAAGCAGCATCAGAAGCAGAGCACATCCTTTGGACCCGACGTTCCTATGCTGAGATGCTCCCAGACCAAAGGAACACTGATGCATCACCAGAACCTTCCTCCAGAAGAAACAGAGAGAGAGCCTTCTCCTCTAGCTGACGCCCTGAATTTGGACTTGTAACCTACTGGACTGTGAGAGAATAACGTCTCTTTGTTAAAGCCGCCCACCTGTGGTATTTCTGTTAGAGCAACCCTGGATGACTAAGACAGGGCCCTAGTTTGCTGACTTCTGACCTAGATTAAGAAAGAAGGGGCAACAACCTACGAGGCTGTCGCTTTAGTGGGAGGAGAAGACAACTACGGTCATTCAAGTTCTTAGACTTTTAATTATCTTTTGCCAATTCCTAGTGGCTGGTGATCCAAGATTCTGACTCTGGGAAGGCCCATGATCCTCAGTCAGGGAGGGCCTGAGTGCCAGGGGCACCAAGCATGCCAAGGCAGGTGAAGTATGGCCAGGGCTGGGCCTGGGAGGGCTGGGTGTGCTGGCAGGAAGAGCAGAAGCCTCAGCAGGTGACTGCCAGTGGCACCTCTGAGACTCAAGGCAGAGAGTCACCACTGTTTCATCCAGCTGGATTAAAGGCAATGCTAGAAAAGAGCTAAGAGTGGGCAGGCTTTGCTGCACCATCTCAAAATTCATCGGTACACCCAGCTCCCCACTTCTCTCTGTAGCCCCCGCTTGCAGCCTGGGGACCCTCCCTGATTCTGGCTGAGAACACTCTTGTATAAGTTCTCTGCATCAGCTAAGAATTCGTGTTCTTGCCTTTTGCTTCCTGACCTTCAACTCAGCTTCTCAGCTCCAAATCGCACCTTGCGGATCACCAGGTGTTGGCCTCGTATAGCTGGTGTTGACCCTGGGGCCTTGTCAAGCCAAGCATGTCAAGCAGAGCTTAGGGGGAGGGAGGGCACAGAAGAAGAGTAAATAATCACGTAGACAGGCAGAGGCAGAGTGTGGATGGGCCCAAAGAAGCAGAAAAGCCAACAAGGTGGTAGTCAAGCCAGGGCTAACACAGCAATGACCGCTGTGCCCTAAAGAACACTACCTGCCGAGGTTCCTCTGGAACAGGGCAGTTGGGGTTTCCCCTGGAGGCTCTACTCCAGGATCCTTGACGGGCCCAGGCCTTTAGAGGGAAGAGGGAATATCCTCCAAACCCTCTGCTCCGAGCAGCCAGGGCCCTCACTAGCCTGGCCTACAGTGCTCATTCCTACCTCTGTGCCAAAGAGAGATGCTCCCCCTCTCCCCTCAGATGATCAAATGGAACACAGTATCAAAGCCCAGTCCTCCCTCTTCCGTGAATTCTTCCCTAATTATTTCACTCCAAGCCTCGAAGTCTTTCAACCCTCAAAGCCAGAAAGCCAGTGCTAGTGTACGGCCCATGCCCCAAAATGAACACCACTGCCGCCATTTTCTTGCGAGTGAGTCACGGACTTTTGGCTGAACTATGAAGTCCATGGAGACAGGGACCAGTCTTATACTTTTCATCCCCTATGTCCCAAGAATAGGAGCCCCAGTCGTGCAGCGGTTAAAGTGATGGGCTGCTAACCTAAAGGTCAGCAGTTCAAACCCACCAGCTGCTCTAAGGGAGAAAGATGTGGCAGTCTGCTTCCGTAAAGATTTACAGCCTTGGAAACCCTATGGGGCAGTTCTACTCTGTCCTATAGAGTCGCTATGAGTTGGAATCGACTCGATGGCAATGTGTTTTTGGTTTGGTCCCAAGAATACATAACAGATATTGAACTCAACCAAAAGATACAACATTAAAAAAGATTTATATAATTAAAGTAAAACATGGGATTAGCAGAAAGAAAACTATCTAGAGGAACTACTATTGAAGCTAGTTTCTCTGTGAAAATTCCAGCCGTCTTCCAGTTTCTTTGTATGTCTATGACACACGCCACAGTTTTAAATAAAGAGGAGATTCAATGTTTTCAATTATCTTAATGCCTAAATTGGACTGACCACATTGTCAGTCCAATCAGCTGCATAAATTGATCATTAAGAAGATTGGAAGGAGGAAGGGGCAGATACCAATTGACAGAGAAACAATCAATTTGGCATTTGCATTTAAATATAGCTTTGGTATTTCATTTATTAAATGTGACCTACCTAAGATACAGGCAAGCTGGGGAAGGTAGAGCAATTACCTGAGTCAGAATGGGTCCAGGAAACCGAGGTCAGCATTGCTCCAGTCACAGAAAGGACAGAGGGGCCTCCATCACCACGAGAACTGAAGACTGCTGGCAGATGATGCTTCTAGCGGCTGATTGAGAGGAGCAGAAGGAAGACAGGATTAGAGCAGAGGAAGGAGAACCCTCTTAACCCAAATGGATGTCTTCTCTGGCCTGACTCTAAAAAATGGCATTCTTCATTGAAAAGTCAATTGCAAAGCATCTTTTTATTTCTTGGATAGTTATTGAGGCACTGGATCTTTCATGATGAACTATTTGTGAAAGTGCCTCCTGGGACGCTTTATTTTACTACAGATACCATTGAAACAAGGAGCCCTGGTGGCACAATGGGTAAGCGTTCAGCCGCTAACCTAGAGGGTGGCAGTTCGAACTTACTAGCTGCTCTGCAGAAGAAAAGACCTGGAGATCTCTTTCCATAAAGACTATAGCCTAGGAAACCCTATGGAGCTGTTCTACTCTGTCCTATCGGTCGCTGTGAGTCAGAATTGACTTGACGGCATGCATAGAACAACAACCACAGAAGCGCTTGTCTATATAAAAGGAAAAATCAGAGCACCAACAAGTGTCAAAGCCAGCACTCCCCCACAAGGTCCAGCCTTTATCCACGAGGTAGACCAGGTACATAGGGTGCAAAGTCATTGACTCTTTAAGCCTGTTGGCATCTCTTCTGCTGTTATAAAGTAAATTACTCTGGCTCTACTCCTGGGGAGAAATATCCCACAAGCTCACTCTACGAGCTGCAAGTTATTGGGCAATAATTAACCAATAGTTTTGCAAAATAGGGAGGTTGGCACATGGGACAGATTGCATAATAATTTCTGATGGAAGTTTTTCTTTTTAGCCTAGGCCTCAACAAGGACAAATTGATAAGACTCTCTAATGGAAAGAATGGTATTATCCTAGGAGCTTAGTGAGAAAATGTTAGGAAATGTGTTCATTAGGTCAGTGGTTCTAAAACTGTGGTCCCTGGACCAGCAGCATCAGCTTCTTCTGGGAGCTTGTTTGGAAATGCAAATTCTTGGACTCCACCCAAGAGCTACTGAATTGGAATATCTGGAGGTGCGGTCCAGCCCTTCGAGTGATTCTGATACACCTCACTTAGATCATTAACTTTTGCACCCATTCAAAGACGTTCTACTGTAAAATAAAATCACCCTACAGTACTGTGTGTTAGGAGTCCCTGGGTGGCGCAAATGGTTAAGTGTTAGGCTACTAACCAAAATGTCAGCAGTTCAAACCCACACAGCCGCTCCAAGGGAGAAAGACCTAGTGACCTGCTTCTGTAAAGTTTACAGCCTAGGAAACCCTATCTATGGGGCAGTTCTACTCTGTCACATGGGGTTGCTATGAGTCGAAATCAACTCGATAGCACCTAGCAACAACAATACCAACTGAAAAGTTGGTAATTCAAACCCACCCTGAAGCACCTTGGAAGAAAGTTCTGGTAATCTACTTTTGAAAGGTTATAGCCATAAAAAAACTTTATGGAGCGCAGTTCTACTCTGCAACACACGGGGTCACCATGAGTAAGAACCAGCTAGATAGCACCTGGTTCTACCGGGACTGCGTGTTAACGTCTCATGACAGGCAAAGCATTGAACTAGGGATTGCAGAGGGAGGAAGGGTCGGAGAGAGAAGATGATCTCTGCCCTCAAGAAATGTATTTTCCACTATGAGACATCAAACCAAAAACCAAACTCGTTGCCGTTGAGTCGATTCCAATCCACAGCAACCCTACAGGACAGAGTAGAACAGCCCCATAGGGTTTCCAAGGCCGTAATCTTTACAGAGGAAGCAGACTGCCACATCTTTCTCCTGCGGAGCAGCTGGTGGGTTCGAACCACTGACATTTCAGTTAGCAGGCAAGTGCCTTATCATTGCACCACCAAGGCTCTTCTATGAGAGATAAGACGTCATAAAATCAACTCAAATACAGACAGGCTGATATTTCCTCTGACAAATGATTAAAGGGGTTCAGAGGAGACATTCCTTTCTGATGGGTGGCAGTGGGGAGGAGGGCAAGTAAGGGAAGGCATCATGAAGACAATGGCAGTAATAATGCGCCTTGAGGTTTGGACTGGGGTTTGATAGGTGGGAACAGGGAAAGGCCAACAGCCAAAGCCAGGCCCGGAAGTGAGAAAGGGTGAGTGCTATTTAGACCACACTAACCAGGTTCAGCTGCTGCTTAGGGACGTGAAGGTGGTCTGGATGAGGCAAGGGCGCTTCCAAGTATAGACAGGTAAATGCTAGAGGCCTGTGGCTTGTCTTTCACTTGTAAAGACCACCTAGAGAGCACCCAAGGCTTATGTTTAGACACTGAAAACCTTATGGAGCGCAGTTCCTCTCTGCAACTCAATGGGGTCACCATGAGTTGGAACCAACTCCACGCCAACTAGGTAACTCAAAGTTTTTAAACCCAGTTTGCTCGTCTGCACTTTTTGCACTGCATTTTCTAGATGAGGAGCAGCTCAGGTGCGTCAAGCATTAGTAGCTGAAGGTTTGCCCAAGAGGAAGAGCACAAAAGGGAATTCTAAAGTAGGCACAAGCAGCTGGATATCACAGTAGCCTCGAGCCATTCTGCAAAGGGGCTACCACACCTACGAAGCCCCTGAGGGCATCACTAGCTTTAGCTTAATAAAATAACTGAAGTTGACAGTGGTCTGCCTTAGTCACAAGGAAAAGTTCAACTAATGCTCTGCCTCTGCAATTAGAGAAGTGCTTTTCACGCTCAAGAAGGTATGTTTTTGCTTCTAGAAAGCTCAGTTAAGTAGGATACTTTATTTCCTGATGCTGCTAGATGAACGACTTGATCCTGTAGATGTTTCTGATGTCATACAAAGCTCTGACGGAAATGATGCTGGATTCAGAATTGGCAATACCTGCTTGCTTATGTGAGTTCTGCCATTAAACCAGGCACTGTTGTTGTGGCTCATCAAGTTGATTCCGATTCATAGCGACTTATAGGACAGAGTAGGATTGCCCAATAGGGTTTCCTAGGCTGTAATCTTTACTTGAGCAGATCACCGTGTCTTTTCTCCCACAGAGCGGCTGGTGGGTTCGAACCTCCGACCCTTCAGTTAGCAGTATTGCTCCAGCGGGGCTCCTTGGCAAGGCACTGAAATGCCCTAAATGCTAACTACTAACCAGTTGTCATGAAATCAGTTCCAACTCATGGCAACCCCATGTATGTCAGAGTAGAACTGTGCACCATAGCATTTTCAATGGCTGGATCGCCAGGCCTTTCTTCCAAGGCACCACCAGGTGGACTCAAACCTTTTGGTTAGCACAGAGCACATTAACTGTTTGTACCACCCAGGGACTCAAACCTCCTTAAGCCACAGATCTTCATAGATCAAGAAACAGAGGTACTGGCCTGCCCCACCATCTTTGAAATTCCAATAAGTAACTAGATATAAAGTTGCTATGAAAATTATAAAGCGTAACACTATACAGAGGTATAGAATTATCCTCCTCGATGAGACATTTTGGGAATAATAATTGTTATTGTATTGTTCTTTGAAAATATAAAAGAAAAACGTTTCTCATGCCCTTAAGACTCTCCTTTTAAATATCTGCAGACACAGCCATTCTGAGAGACAAACTTGGCATCCACCAAGCCACTATACCAAGAAAGAGTTCAAGGTACATTTTACTTGTAATTTTTTTTTTTTTTTTAATTCCTCTGACCACGATAGAGTATCCAGTTATCTTCCAGCAGCTCCTGGTAAGCACACCTAGTCTCCAGCCACACAGACATATACAATGGCAATAATTTATTGTCTCTGCAGTCGTTTATTCCCAGATGGACCATTTACTAATTTATTTCCATATGTAACTGGCAGAGAGATTAATCAGGCTTCCAACTCAGAAACCTGAATTGCACCTTATTCCCTTGCCAGGCTAACACTGAGCAAAAGGAAGTACACGTTTGCACAGAAAACCAAGAGTTCCTCTGAAAAAGCCTGTCGACCTCAGACGTACGCCTTTAAGCACACAGAGCCACACGCACACACGCACACACAGATCTGTCATGAGGCAGTTTGCTCCTGTGTCAACATGGAAGGCTGCTTCTTTCTTTAGCTCCTCATGGGCCCCGTTCACATCGGCGCTATGTCTGATATGACTGAGGGCAGAATGAAGCCAGAAACACCAAATCAGGCCCGGTTGCAGCCGCGTTCCCCTCCCCATGTGCAAGGCCGGGGGCTCGTATTTCTGAAACTGAAGAGGACTTTCTGCAGTGGTGCTGCGCCCAGCTGGCCCGGCTGTACGGTGCCCGGGCACTGGAAAGTATGTGCTTCCTTTTTTCCACTCTTTTTAAGGGCCTGAACTTGAGTGAATTCAGCAGCTGCCGTGTCCTCTGTGAAGCGATGCCTCATGACTTAGCATCACTCCCTGTCCCCCTGAGCTCAGCTCTCCTTCCTCCTGTTTTTAACTCTATTCCAGTGGATATCAGCCTTAGCAAAGAGGTCTTCACTGGGTTGTTGTTGGATGACGGTGTTTCCATATGGAATCCCAACCAATCCAAACACAGCCAGAAGGCTTGAGTTGGTTGGTGATATCATCCAGGCAGCCCAGGCCACCGCTGGAAAGGCTCAGCAGACAGGACCCTGTAGAGATATTGTCAGCTGGGTCCACACACCTGGGTCACTACCCAACCACGTGGCTCTGGAAAAGTCACTTAACAGTTCAGGTTCCTGTCTCCCTCCTCTGGAATATCAGGTGGCCAGCTCCCTAGGCTTCCTTTCAGTTCTACAATTTTATGATTCTATGAATACGAAAAGGAGCCCTGGTGGTGCAGTGGTTAAGTGCTCGGCTGCTAATCGAAAGATCAGCAGTTTGAACCCACCAGCCACTCCTCGGGAGGAAGTTGTGGCAGTCTGCTTCTGTAAAGATTACAGCCTTGGAAACTCTCTGGGGCAGTTCTACTCTGTCCTATAGGGTCGCTATGAGTCAGAACTGACTCGACAGCAACAAGTTTTTTATGACGATGAAAAATTGAGCCATTCCCTGGTTACTATGTTTAGATGATGTTTGGTGGCGCAGTGGTCAAGACTTACGGCTGCTAACCAAA